CCCCAAAACCCCAAAACCCCAAAACCCCAAAACCCCAAAACCCCATCATTCAACGAAAATATTGAACTCCAAAAAGCACGAAATTTAAGAATAAATTCTAGAATTCGAGAAACTCTCTTTTATCAAGTTCGCATTTATTTTGTAATTTTCAAAAACTGGTTATAAAAAAGATCAGAATAAAAATTTCCTTCTTAAAAATTTCAGTGCCTACATACATTCAGAATCTGAGTTTCCAGGCTTATCAATCTGTACAGTGATAAATTTTTCAGCTTCGAGTCGACAGATAGGTCACTTGGAGCTCTGCATGCGCACAACTTGTGCGCATGCATTGCATAAGCAGATGTGCTTGCAGGGGTAGACTACAGTATTCTTGGGATTAGAATAGCATATAATGCACTCTTTCATAGCTTCATCAGAAAAACTTCCTTCATCTTTAGTAGATAGACCGTAGATATCCTCTATTTTAAAGATCTTGTTCTGGAACTGTAGACATTGCTTCTTAGGCAATAGGCAGTAGTCACCCTGACTGTTTACAATGAAGGAACCATAAGTTATCTGTCACTGTTGAGGGGCTACATACTCATGCTTTGAAGGAGTGAACCTGGGGCAACTTTCTATAGTAATGACAATTGGATAGTATTCATCTTCCTTAAATGTTGTCATTTCCTTCAGATCGTATTTAGAGAAATCAATAATAAAGGCCTTGAAAGGAAACTCATGTCTCGCTCTTGCAGAAAATTTATACTTCGCAATGCCATTAGAAATTTCAGGAGGAGTGTAGAAATAAACTGTTGGTGAGCCTTTCTTTGAACTTCGATACTCACTAGCTCAGAGCTGAATGGTGATTATGCAGTCGAAAGTTCATGAAAAGTCAAAATTAAGAGAATATACATATCTATCACTTTCTTTAACTTTTTTTAGATATAGACTTTCTCGTTTAAGATTATTATGGCACTTCAGTACAGGTACCTCCTCTTGTTGAACTCTCTTTGAAGTAGCGTTTGTTCCTAAATTTCCCATTTATTTTTAAATATTATTCAAGAAACTTGGTTAATAAAGGGGTTTTGGGGTTTTGGGGTTTTGGGGTTTTGGGG